TCGATATACTTACCCACCCATTTGCATTTACGCCTACCGTCATGCCGTCGCCGTCGTTATTTTTGTTCGACGCTTTGCTTGCATGAGGTACATCGTGGTCGCAGCACGAGCGCAACCGCTCCGTCACTTTCCTAAAGGTATGTTCGCCAAGCCATTCATAGTCGTAAAAATAGCATCATGTAGCTCACCGTCGTCCGTGCCATCGCACTCATTCTCTGACCGCCATCTCGACTATCAACTTGACGTCAATGCCACTGCCGACGATGACAACGAACAGCGCAAGACGGGACTATTCAAAGAAGCATACCAGCCAGGCGTGTTGTGTTCAGTCGATGTCGCCGTCATCATCTTCGGTGAGGTTCGCCAATGTCGCGATTCAATTTTTAGCTAACACTCGCATTCTGTGCCTCTTCAACAACTCCTCACTCGTGCTGTTCCCCGTTCACAAGACCGTACTCATCGTGGCCAACGTTGACAAAAATGGACGCTTTCGATGACTCTCATGTTGAACTCCTTGACTACCAACTCGCGCGCAAATCTTTCGCTCGCGCGCGCTCATTCTCGCCATCACGACTGTCAACGCCAACATCCATGACCTCGCCGCTCCCTCTAATAACGAACAGAAAGAAGACAAGGACATGCGAATAAGATATATCAATATTGTTCGACGGATATACTGGGCAGGGTGGACAGGCATCGACGGGTACGTTCATCTCTCCCTTGCTCTTCCGGTATTCGTTTCTGGTCACCTCTCTGCTCTTTTATCGTACGAACAATATCTTCCCACCTCATTTTGTCAGTCTATTCCTCAATTGGCGCGTTTGCCTACGTCTCTAAACATACATATCTCTCTTGGTCTCTTCGTGATTCGTGTTGTTTCATTATATTTCTTCCCTCGCCAATCCTATTTCCCGTCCCGTTCTCTATTTCCATCCCATACTAGCGTCTTTATCCAGCTCAAATACATATTGGCTTCCACGCCCTCCGCCAATGTTCTCTCTCTATATTCACTGCATAGTCTCGTTTTGACCACTCACTCATAATGTCACCCTACCATTCATATTTCTTTCACTCTCGTCTTTTTCCGCGCATGTCTCACCTTTTGATTTCTCACACTCGCTTTTCGGCATCCCTACGATCGCCATTTCGTTCTGCTTGTCACTCTTCCACCTGTGTTAAATGGAGCATGTCTCATTACAGTATTGGAGCGTCCCCGCTCGTTCCTTCATGTTGCCCAATTGTTCATCGTAATCATTTTCGTTCCTTATTGTCCTGCGGGTTCTACGTCGCCTTCACGCACCCCACACGACTTCTCAGGCAACGCACCCCCTGGTGCTAGTGCAGGAGGCCATGTCGGGGACGATGACGACTATTAGAACGTGACGGACGACCCTTCTTCCCGTGGAGGAAGTGGGATGGCTGGAGGGGGAGGGGGAATGGGAGGAGGGAGAGGGGGACGGATGGCTCCGCAAAAGAGCGAAGGGGCGATTGATGCGAGTCTTGCGTCTTTTGGTTCAGTTTTGAGTTCGTTCTCTTTTCCTATGCCCGGGCCCTCGTACGTTAGATTCGGAGCAAGCCCCTGCTCTGGGCATGAGGGAGAGGTTAGAGGAGGATTCAGACTTGGAGTCTATGGTCTAATTGTACACGCTTGCTATTCTAGCTGCTCTTCTTTTTATAGTTCGTTTTGTTTTATGACGGTGGGAAGTTAACATCGTACCTCGTGGCTTTGTGGCGTGCTCTCCCACTCGCCCTTCTTCCCTTCCCAGTATACAACTCTCTCTTCACTATTCGAACATCGTCCTTACTCCGATCCGAGCATCTCAGATGAACCCGCCTCCTCCCCGCGATGCAGACTTCCCTTTTGGCGCCACTCACGCCAGCGCAGAGTTCATACTTCGGTCGTCCGATGGGACAAACCATGTCGATTTCTTCGTTCACAAGTTGATCTTATCGATGACATCTCCCTTCTACAAAACCATGTTCACTCTCCCGCCTCCATCTACGCCGCCGCCGCCGGGTCCCCAGTCTGTCGATATAGAGCGAATCGTAGACGGCGTTCAGTATGTCGTTCTTCCGGTCAGCGAAGACGCCGAGACCACACTCCATTTCCTCCATCATTGCTATCCATACAACAATCCGCCGCCCACTGATCCCCCGATCCTGCGCAAGCTCTTACGCGTCCTACACAAGTTTGATATGATGGATCGTCTGTCCCACCACGTAAACACATTGATCGCGTTCCTTGCTCGAGAGAGACCCGCCACGGCCTTCGCCATCGCTCACCTGTTCAAGGAAAAGCTAGGACCCGCCGCTCGAGACGCCGCCTATCTCTCTCTACGCAGAACCTCTGCGCAAATCACGCAGGAACAAGCCGCGCTAGCGCATGATGATACAGAGCTCCAACACGCCTTCAACCGACTCATCAGGTATCGTCAGTCGTGTACAAGTTGTGCTAGGTCAACGGCGGACAACGTCAATCGTATCAGCTGTTACGACGTTCCGGGATCGATGGAGAAGGACTGGTGTTCATGTCCTGCGTATTCGACGGGATACAAGCCTGGGAGGGGGATCGAGCGGTACCCGATGTGGGTGAGGGACTTTATGGAAGGGTGTAAGGAGGTGTTGGAGGAGACCCCGCATCCGGATATGATGTTGGACGCGAGGCTGTATATCCTACCTGTGAAGACTGCGGCTGGGTCCGGATGTGCTAGGTGTCGGGTCACGGTGGATGGGCTGCCTTTGTTTGGGGCTCGTCTTGCGAAAAAGGTTGCTTTGGCACTTGAGGGAGTAAGTACTTCCTTGCTTTCTTTTCGCACATATGCTTGGTCCGTGTATCTCAGTGTCTGACGCGTTCTGTGATTTGTTTTAGCATTCGGCATCGCTTACGAGAGAATGAGTAAGTACTTTAATTGATCGGAACGGTCTATTTGAACGGGTGCTCATATGATGCCGGTTGCATGTAGGGTATCAGTTGGCTTGCGAGATGGAGTTGTCTGAGGAATGAAGACGATGCGGGAACAAATTTATGGTGCCTTTTCGCCGAGCGCAATTTGTTTCGTAGTTGCTCGTGGAGC